CAGAGAAAAATTTGCAATTGTTGTAGCCAATCTCCATTGAGGAGAAGTCACTTTAAGGCCATTCCTCGCGATTCTGGGCATAACTAAATTCCAATGTAAAAGTTTATATCAAATAAAGCAAAAACTATGGCAGATATTGAGATGATTCTTTTTTTATATGAAAGGTCTTAAAAAGTTCTAGTGCACTATTTGGTTGTAAATTAATAAATTGTTTAAACAGTATTTTTTTTTTAATATTTTTGGTTAAAATAAACGTAAAAATTTTTTTTTGAAATAGGGCACTACAGAATTTTACGCACTTTCCGAATCTGTTTTTATTTTTAACATAAAGTGTAACACAAAGCAGCTATTTCATATAAACTATTTAAAAAATGTTAAATTGTGCTAAATGTACTCTCTCTCTCGGTCAGTACAAGCTGTCCTTGTTGATAGTTTCTAGACTCTCGCCGACGAGTAGGTAAGAAAGTTGGAGGGTCATAAATAATGTTGAATAACATTATTAGGGCATATTTCGACTTTTGACTAGTTTTGACAAACCAGTGTGTTTTGTTGTTTTTAAAATGGGTAGTTCGCGAAGACGTTTATGCTCCGGACGAAAAAGTCGACGACGATTGAGGAAATTTTATATAAATAAGCAGTAAGTACCTATAATTTGATTAAATTTTTATATGAATAGAAATATTTTCTGTTGTTTGTGACATTTTCCTTCTAAATGTTTATACTGTTTTTATAATAATACTATTGTTTCAGTATTTATTTATATAATTATAATTTATTATGTAGAAACAGAGTAGAATTCTTTCATTTGACAATAATAATTGTCTGTTAGATTAGTATTATAATAAGTAAATTAGTCTCTTATTGAATGATAATAAACAACACAGCAAACGTATTCTGAAACTATTTCTTATGTCATGTTATATTTTATTAGATTTTGGTGTAATAAACCACAGCCTATCAAATTCAATATCAAAAATCAAAATTTGAAATGATAGCGTGACTAAATTATTTAAAAAATTTTAAATTTAAATTTAAAAAATTTTAATAATCAAAGTGTTTTCATGTAGATCATTACTTCAACATTAACTAATCTTCTAAATTTTTGTTAAATGTTGTTTTGTGAAGAACTGTTATTGTTGTTTTATGTTATTCAAGATGTACAACAGCCTTTTACTATTTTTAATTTTATGTAAATTAACCAACATTTTTTTATAATTTAAATGTTGGTAAGCCTTTCATTATTTTTTTGTTATACCTACTCATTTAAATTTTTTTCTACTTTTAATATTTTCTTCTCTGCATTCAATCATCTTTTGCATTGTAGAATTTCTTGAAAGAGGAAATAAACTTTTCAATATATGAAGTTGATTTTCAATATATCGAGTGTTAAATACCGAAATGTAAAAAGTCAAAATCTACAACTTTTCAGGAGAGCGAAAAAACTTCGCTGCTTGGTACATATTTTTTTTCTCAATACTTACTTAATTATTACAACAGAAATACATTTATTGAATTATTACATCAGAAAACAAAGTAGAAAAAGAAAACACGTGTACTAAGCAGTGACGTTTTTTCGCTCTACTGAAAAGTTGTAGATTTTGACTTACGAGGTTTCGGTATTTAACCATGTATATATCATCATCAACCATCATCATGAATGCCTCGACAATCCGTCTTGGCCTGCTCGCACAGAAATCGCCACTCCTGTTGATTCCTGGCAACTTTCCTTCATCTTCTGACCCTTAGAATCCGCTTCTGACACATTATCAATCCATCTTCTTCGTGGTCATTTTTAACTTCTTCTGCCCTCTGGTTTTGAAAATTTTAATCTCTTCATGTATTCGTGATCTGACATCCTAGTAATGTGTCCAGCCCATCTAAGTCTCTGAGACGCCATACTCCATTTTCATTTACTACCTCAAAAATCTTTCTAAGAATTTTTCTCTCAAAAATACCAAGAAGTCTTTCATCATTTTGAGATAAGATCCGCGTTTTAGCCCCATGTATCAAAATTGGTCTTATTAAGTTCTTGTATATATCGAGCTTTACTGCACGTTTTATATTTTTATTTTTTAAATGTTTCTGGAGACCGTGAACAGTTCTGTTTGCTATTGCTATGCGTCGTTTTATTTCGTTGCTTGTCGTGTTTGTTGCGTTTACTAGCGATCCAAGATAAGTGAATTCTTTGACTTGCTCAAAGGTATCGTTGTTAATTTGAATTATCTGTTGAAAAACCAACCTATAGTTGGTTTTTCCTCATTTACCATTTCTAATTAGGACCACAAGTCCTAATTTACTTGCCGCGTCTGCAAGCCTTGTAAAACACTGCACCATGTCTCTTATGGTTCTATTAAAAATAGTTACATTCATTATAATATTTCATTTTCTGGTTGCCTTTTCCAATGCAACATTAAAGAAGAGACAAGCCAGCGCCTCCCCCTGTCTTATACCATCATTAACGTCAAAGCACATGGAGTTTTCTCCTTCAATTCTAACGCACGAACTCACGTTTTACATTGTTAGTTGGGTCAACTTAACTAACTTCGGTGGGATCCCAACCAAAGTCTATCATTGCTTAACACTGTCATAGGCTGTCATAACGTGTAACTATGTTATATTCTAGTGACTTTTCTAGAATCTGCCCATGTGCTTGAATTTGATGTATAGTTGATTATGCAGCAGTAAATCAACAATATCCTTTGTAAAATGTTTGTCTTTCAAACAATACATTGCCGAAGATTTTATACGCAGATGCTAACAGAGTAATGCCTCTATAGTTCTTACAATCCAGCTGATAGCCCTTTATGCAACGCATATTATTTCATTTAGCCACTCTTCTGGTACCAATTTATTCGTATGAAACGTCATCCGACGTCCATTTTTCATTGAATTCGGTTATTCCATTGTTCTTTAAGTACTTTCGAGCTCATTGAGTTTTTTATTCCTTCCATGCGTGTTTTCTACGGTAGTCCTCTCTTCTGGATTCCTTTAGTTGTTCATAGAGGTACTTGTTTCGGGAGTCTTTTGTCTTTCATTCATTGGACATGTCCGTACCATTTGAGATGCCTTCATTTTATGCCATCCATGACTGTACCTTCTATTCTCATACTTTATTGCATCCATTTCAGCGACATATCTTTCTTCGATGTCTCTGTTAATCGTCTCGTTTCACAACCATGTAAATAAAAGCATGCTTTTTACCATAGTTTCATGGGTTTTAGTGCTAGAGAGAGCATGTCAGCTGAGCCAAAACGAAAAATAATCCTCCTGATTGCTTCCACTGGAATAAACTTGATTGTTTAACTGGGCCCGGACTACCTTCTTCTAATTCTTTAAACTCCCGTTTTGAAATTAATAATAATCATTATTTTGTCTAATTACCTATTTAGTTGTAAAGACAGATACATTGTTACCTAAAGAAGTGAAAGTGGTTCAATTTAGAAATTATATCGTAAATAATAAATATTTGAAAACTAATGCATATATTCCTCCCGCGATTTGAGCTACTAATTTTATAAATCGCACCACTAATAGACGTAAATCCCTTCATTTTCATTTCATGAATATTTTTATTCGCCACATCTCAACATTTTCCATTTCAGAATATTTATCATCAAACTGTAATATACGTTAAAAGCCAATTTGTCAGCAAAAAACAATAACAAAAGAAAATATAAGACATAAAAAAGCCAATACACTTATATCTTGTTATACATTATTTTGTTATAAAATTTTATAAAAGTTTGTCTTCGATTTAATTGTTATGAATTATTTACAGGACGATTATTTGTTACCTGTATGTACCCTTGCTAAGTTGTGAATTAATTATTCAATAAATAATATTACTCTGGTATACTCGTATTATTCTAATTACCCCATAATCGCAATGAATAGAAGACCTCCCGCTCGCTTTATTATATACACCCAAGACTTCACAATAGGAGGTTGTAAGTAGGTAAAAATATAAAATTTAGTACCAGATGACGTTTAGAATATTCTTCTGAATGGATTTTGTTTTCGTAAAGAAAGATATTTTTGAAATAGATAGCTCACTGAATTTTACCGTTAGGATTATCGAGGATAGGCCTTAAGATGAAGAAGAATAAGGTGATTAATAAAGCGTCGTTATTTATTTCCTAGTATATCATAATCCATGTTTGTATTAATTGTAAATGTGTCATAGGCCAGCAAGATGAAAGCAAAATTGTTTTCAAATCATGTTATGATATGGCACGTATAAAAAATTGGGCAATTAATGAATTAGGATACATCATTATTAATGATTATGATTATATATTATAATGATATTTTAAGTCGATATTGTTAGAGAGGCAAATATTTTGCAAATATATAGGTACATGGTTAGTAAATGTGTTTGTATGTTCCACATGGAGTTTTTCGTCGTAGTTATTGCCTATAATAGAACTTATAGGAAGTGTCGCATGATATTTATATAGTATATATAAATATCATGGGACATATAGATATAGTAAAGGCAACAATAATGTAAATCGTAATGTATACTACAGACAACCACTTTCAGTTAGTAATAGAGGTGTCTAGGACAAGATGGTATGGACACATATTTAGAAGACAAAGTTGCTAACACAATTCTAAAAGAAAGATGAGTAGCAAAACCTTGTATTTGATGATACATCTAGAATTACACTATGCTGAAAAATGCTAATTTCAGCACTCTAAGCAAATACTTATATCCATTAACTGCCAACGGAGGATAGGAAGGAGGATAAATATGACTGACACGATATTCCATTTGGGTAAATAGGTGTTCCCAATCTACTTTGGAAGTTGGTTACAATCAACAAAAATGAAAAACAAGGATAATATTTATAATATACAAAGGGAGAATTATGTAATGTAATTACAAAATTGTAATTTATTAATAAGCAGTTTATAAAATAATGTAGCCTAACAGTAAAGTTTGATTTTTTTACTACAAATATAGTATTCTTCAAATATTTTGCATGCAAATATTACAGATATTTGGCTATTGTTGCGGCTTTGACCACTGAAGCTGACTACGTTTTTATTCCCGAATCTCCACCTCCGGGCGATTGGAAGAAACGGCTCTGTGATAAATTAGAGCAGGTACTTCGGATATAAGTGTATTGTGAACGTAAATTAACATGTTTTTGGCATTTTATGTTAGTTGCTTGAGCTGTCGAATGCGCATTTAGATCAACAGTAAGCTGCTTTTAGTAAGCTTTTTTAACAGCAATATATATTTTATTTTTGTTGTTAATACCTTTTCAAGACAAGCAGAAGGTTGCAAGAAGTAAAATAACTAATTTGTAACTACATCAACTATTCATGCATATTCAGTGTTTTATTTAATTTTGCATACAATATTCAGGTCTGCGTATCTAGGTACATAATATAGATACATTTATAAGAACTTCTAAACTGATATCTTTTTTTTGTAAATTTATGGCCACTAGCACATATAATTTTATAAGGCATTAAATATAGATTTTTAATACATGTCTTAGTGGACAACAGAGTTTTATAATATAAAAACAGTTTAATATTTTAATCTATATTATTCTATACAAAAATATACTATTTTTTATAAATTTTTCCAGTTATTTAGCTTTAGTAGCAGCTATTACGGGAGAGGCAGATTTTGTATTTATACCTGAATGGCCAGCTGACCCCGAATGGCCTAATATGCTATGCAAAAAAATCGTACAGGTATTTTGAATAAAAAATTAAGGTATATGCTTATTTTGGGAGTTTTGTATAGATGGTGACACTGGAAATGTGGAAAAATAATTTTATGCAATTTTATGACAGTGTTTTTGTGTTGCTTGTAAAACAGCAGTTTACAACTCAACTTTAGTTTAGATGTTTATATGTCTTTAGATTCTTTTATGAGATTATAATTACGAAGTAAGCTAAAAAAATTTTGTGTGGTAAGTCAATATTTTCTTCTTATTACTCTCATCTTGATAACCTGTTCACCATTCTCGGTCTGACATTAAAAATAACAAATATGTTAGATAAATGCACTTCTTTAATTCCATTCTAAGTGGATTGGTATCTTTTCTTGAATGCAAATATTATCTAAATACGAACTATAACATTGATCGATTGATTAAGTTTTTGTTATATTATCAATGTTTCTAATCTAGTATGACAAAGTTTTGATTATAGTGTGATTAAAATGCCAAAACAAGTCAATAGTTGTTTGCATCGAGAAGTTGCGAACAAATAATCAAGCGTGAATAAAAATTTGCACATTGGTTTTTTAAATAATTAACGAAAAGTCACACTAATTAATTATATAGCGGAATCGAATTGCTATTGGACAAGTCTCTGCAGGAAGTGCACTAAACATATTTATTAAAAATAGTTAAAGATAAAATTGTTTGTATATTTTCATTGTTATAGTTTGCATAAAATTATTTTTCTATATTTAAAAGTAACAAATTTGTATTTTAAAAGAACTATGGGGTAAAACCATTTACCAAAAAAAATTTGAGATAACTCTATTGGAATGAATATTTGAATTACTTGTTGTCATATTTCAATAAAATGTTTAGTGAAACGATACGGTACTTTTCTAAATATAGTTTAGGAAATTGTAATTAATAATCACTAGGCGTTTTGCAGCTTAAAATGATTTTTTATGCTTTTATAAATCATATCCTCAAAAATAGCAATCTACCCTTTGATTAATTGCCATAATTGCACTGCTTATATTGTAGGATAGTTGTATTATAAATTTTAATACTTTTATTAAATTTTTATTGCTAAACACAAATCCCATGTGCAATAATATAGACACATTATAATAACATTGTATAAAAAACATGTAAACCGTATAGTTGCAATGCTTTATATTTAATATAAATATATATATATATATATATATATATATATATATATATATATATATATATAGTTTGAGTTTAGTTCTTGAACCTTAATATATATTTTTTAGTGGATTCTCTTGGGCTTAGGTTCATAAAAAAAAATTTAGTTTGATACTAAGACATTTTTATATATTTTTTCCGACGTTTCGGCAGGAAATCCATGACTTTTTCAAGAATATATATTGACAAGCATGTAAAGATTCGATATTAACGATTAGACGTCACAATTAAAATAATATTAAAACATAGGACATACCCACTAAGTCACTACAAGTAAAATGAGTCATGAGAATAAGTCATTCATTTTACTTGTAGTGAATTAGTGGGTATGTCCTATGTTTTGATATTATTTTAATTGTGACGTCTAATTGTTAATATCGAATCTTTACATGCTTGTCAATATATATATATATATATATATATATATATATATATATATATATATATATATATATATATATATATATATTCTTGAAAAAGGCATGGATTTCCTGCCGAAACGTCGGAAAAAAAAAATATAAAAATGTCTTAGTATCAAACTAAAATTTTTTTTATGAACCTAAGCCCAAGAGAATCCACTTATATATATATATATATATATATATATATATATATATATATATATATATATATATATAGGGTGATCAATTTTTGTGACAAAGTTAAGTCAGACCAACAAAAAGTAAAAAAGTAGAAGGTAGCTGTAGGCTTCATGTTTTAAACGTCCTGTGTCCTGTATTTTATTTTAAATTTAAAATCTGCTTCACTTCCTTTTATGCTATATAGTATTTAAAAACTTACAACCGAATTTCAATGAAAATCGTAACAAGTTCAACGCCCTCTATAATTGGAAAATAGTACAAAAGCAACGACTTATTGTAGCCATAGTTTATAAATGATTGTCAAAATTCATAAAAATGATTGATTTTCGTAATACTTTTGAAGTACAGGTTAAGTCAACACACAAATTGATGATGTGCTTAGTATTTTTAAATCACCATCATAAACTTAAAGTCAATGTTCTTTAATGTAGTTTAATTTTCCCAAGTATTTCCTAGACCATACTTAATAGTTTTGAAAATATGTTAAATTTGAGTGTAAAAAGGGGTATTTCATGAATCCAATTGATTATTTTTATTTATTTTACTATTTACATAATATATCTTGCCAGAAACACACAAAAAAATTACATCAAGGAATTATTATTGCAGAATCTGTGTTCGAAATGAGCTCCCATGACGTCAACACGGGCTTGAAGATAGTTTTCAAATTATCTACTTACGTAATCATTTTTAGCGTAACATTATGAAATGCGTTTATAATTCTGACCTTCATGTGATTAATTGTTGGAGGTTCACGGTACACTAGATTTTTAACATAACGACAGAAGTCAACTTTTTTTTCTGGTGATCTAGCTGATCAATAAATTGGTGCTTCTATTACTAAGTGCGTTATAATGAGAAGAATCTCCATCATGTAGGTACCATAATTTTTGATAGTTATTGAGAGGCACGTTTTCAACTAAAGTATGTAGATGATTTACTAAAAAGTCCAAATAAACCTCTTCGTTTACTATTTCCTCAAAGAAGAATGGCCGATTACATAATTACTCAAGATACCACCCAAGCGTTTAAGGACCACTTCTCACAAAGGACTATCATAAAAGTTGATCATCGTGTATATAAATTAATTTTGATTGCTAAACACATATTAGAGACACATTTTAGTAGCATTGTATCAAAGACTTATAAACAGTATAGTTACAATGCTTAATGCTCAACATTATTTCAAGTGCCAGAACATTTAAAATTATATGTGTTATACCTATAAAACCCCGTATGTTCATTTCATTTATTAATTTTCTATGAATCGTATTATATCAGTACCAGTTTTATACCACTTCACAATTAGTTTTATACACTAATTAACATTCAGTCTGTGAGATTTACCAGCACATCCCAGTGTTCCAGTCTCTAAATTTTATGTCGCTTGTAGATGTTTACTTAGGTTAGTTCCTGTTGTTTAACAACAACTACTGAACTGAAGAGTTGGTCACAATTATTTTGAAGTGAATGAGATTAGTATACATACTATTGTCATAAATAGCCGACTACTCTATATGGTACAACTGGTATTAAAATTTGGATAGAACTATTTCTAATCAAAGTATTTTATTTTTAGTATATATCACTGCATATTTTGATCTTCACCACTGTAAATAGTAGTAGATGCTTGCCGCAAACTTTTTAAATTAACTTATTTCAAATTTACAGTTACTTAGGTATAGTTACTGGTATGACATGTGAAGCTGACTATGTATTTATACCGGAAGACCCAGTTACCGAAGATTGGCCAGAAGAACTGTGTATGAGACTTAAACAGGTATATTAAATTTAAAAAACGGTAACAGTTAATTTCTTTGTTACTTCTTTATCGGTTTCAGTTTTCTTTGTTTACATCAATATAATAAACTTTGCCTTTAAACAAAGATCTGAGTACTTGAATTATCGTAAGTAAATCATTTCATTATATTCGGCAAGAAGCTACATGTCAGTGTTGATTGTTAGTCTAAAATGAGACTTATCTACTATAACATAAACCAGAAATGTAGATACACTAAACTATAAATGGTAGGATTGATCTCGACAAATAATTGACAATATAACCACGTTTAAGGTAGAAGGATTCATCTTAGCTGCATAGTTGAAAGAAAAGATAAAATGTAAATATTAACCATCTCATTTTAGTATAAATCTAATCATATACAATACCAGATCCGAATTATTCAAAATAAAGTACTAATGGAAACAACAGAAATGTAAACACATAGAAGAGTGAATAATTTACGTCAAGTCAGACGAAAAATGACTATTTGAAGTAATAGATAGAATGTTCATGGTAATATACTGGACACTGAATTGTAATATACTGGAGGGTACACCAGCAGCAGCTATGGAGATCCTATTGGACCTCACTCCTTTACACTTAATTATAAGGAGCAAGGCAAGAATGGGATATTATAGAGTGTGAGAAAACCTGAGAAACATAATGGTTAGATCAGGGCATAGCAGCATCATAAATGAAATTACGGGATATCGTATGTATGGATGATAACTTTTGACCAGACGTTACCCAGATGTACGATTAAAGAATATTTACAGGTGGACAACTGGTCACTAGAGGGATAGGGAACAGGAAACAAAACCGAGGTAT